TTTTTCGCACCTTCATCCCCTGCAGTGCAACAAAAGGACCCACCTCAGAGTACATCCACATCGACGGCTGCCCATGTCACATCTAGTAGCTCCTCTTCTTACACATCAGGCGACTTGCCGATCCCCACAGGCTCGGCAGACGTGGCTGCAGATATAGCCAAGTACACAAACAAAGTAAGTCCTAAGATGTGTGACAAAATATGTGAAATAAGAGTTTGATTAGTTTATCATTGAGAGGAGGGCATCTTTCTCTAAAGCCTGTAAAGTGGCCCTTATTATAATGTGCATAGTTCATGTTTGAGACATAACATAACATTTTTTCAAATAAAACATGACATGTGGACTAAAATTACATTTTCTTTTGCAAAATTTTGTAGATCATGGATTCAATAAAAGGGACAATGACTGAAATCTACAACGACCTTTCCAAAAGCACATCAGGAAACACAATCGCAGAGGTACATTCTGGTTCGTGGATAAATGTTTGTTAATAATTTCACATTAATACGAGTTAACATTGAATCTCTACGTGTTCTGCAACAGATAAGACGTTTAAGGATAGAGATTGAAAAGCTCCAGTGGCTGCATCAGCAAGAACTGTCGGAGATGAAGCACAATCTCGGTAAGTTTCCTTTTTCCGGAAAAGTCATGGAATGTGTAAGTACAAAGTCCAAGTGGAGCAGTCTTTTCGTTTAAACAAAGGGTTCCCATCTTGTCACATCTCAATGCAGAACTGACAATGGCAGAGATGAGACAAAGTCTGGAGCAGGAAAGAGAGCGGCTGGTGGCCGAGGTGAAAAAGCAGATGGAGTCAGAAAAGCAGCAAGCGGTGGACGAGACCAAAAAGAAACAGTGGTGTGCTAACTGCAGGAAGGAGGCCATCTTCTACTGCTGCTGGAATACAAGTTACTGTGACTACCCCTGCCAGCAGGCCCACTGGCCAGAGCACATGAAGTCCTGCACACAGTCAGGTAACACAAACACACTTTTGGAGCACTTTTGTATTCAATACGTATTATTTACTTGGACACCTGCTTTGGTAAAGTCTACTGGGCTTCTATGTGGGGCCTTTTGATGAAGTTTGGAGATTTGGCATAAAGAATTTATTGCCTGACATACATTGTCAATAAACACTGGTTAGTATTCATTAGAAGATTTTTTTAAAGATCTAACAAACATACAAGCTAGGACGTTCATAGAAGACAATTAAACAAGTATTGTACCTGTCAATAAGACATTGTTCACCAGGTGTTTTCTCAGAGCTGATGTCACACTGTGTTTTCTAAGTGACTATGTTTTGAATGCACAAAATTTTAAGTTTTTCCCCTATATTCTAAGGAGGCAGTACTCTTACTAAGTGGTTTACTTGGCTAATAAAAATGAGTATACCAGTTATATCCCTGTTGACATGCCAGGCAGGCATTCTCCTGTACTCCTTCAGTTGTTGTTTTTATACAATGCAGAGCTGACTGTGAACAGGCAAGACGCCCAGTGCTCTCTATTTATGATCTAAGACTGCTTATAAAACCTGAATGATGTCGGCATAGCCCACTCCTATTCATTAAATGCTTCTTTATTAATTAGGCCCGATTCAAAATATCCAAACAGTTTATGTTGTTGAAATTCAGGATATAATGGAACCTTGGGGGAGCGTCTTTCGATAAAGGATCTAAGGAGGAGCTGAAGTTGTTGATCAACTGTTGTCTGTTGGTGAGGTAAGGAGCAGTGATGTTGAAGGTGTGTTCCAGGCGAGCGTGAGGAATAGTGCAGCTGATGATGGCCTCGAATGCTGCTGTTAAGATCAAGGAGGATGGAAATGCTGAGGTGGCCAGAGTCTAAGGAGATGAGCAGGTCATTGGTTACTTTGAGGAGGGATGTTTCTGCGCTGAGAACGGAGGCTAGACTGAAATAGGTCAAACAGGGTTTTAAGGGTGAGATGGGATTTTGATTTGAGAGGCCACAAAACATTCCAGTATTTTTGACTGAAAGGGAAGTTTGAAGATGGACCGCTAGTTACTTATGCTGTAAAAGTTGAGTGCAGGTTTTTTTTTTTTTTAGGATGGGGGGGTAGGCTGCCAGTTTTTGGAGGACTGAACAAGAGCTGAGTGAGGAGTTGAAAATTGTGGTTATGAGTGGAGGAATGGCTCAGAGACGGTCAATAACCAGATTAGAAGGGACGGGGTCTACTGGATAATACTGGTAGAGCTTTCCATACCTGAGGTGATGGTGCGCAGTTCAAAATGGGACACAGGAAAAAGCATGTGGGTTGAAGGTAGGGAGTTGGATGGGGCAGGGAGACTGGTAAAGTGGCTGTAAATGTTTTCATGAACAGCAGTTTAGTATATGCCAACTGTACAAGGATCATGAAACCGACATGTTTTAGACTAACTGATAACATGTGTGTCTTAGCAAAAAAATAATTGAACAGGGTTTTTTGATAGTTGAATGAGGGTAGGAGATAATCTTTTCAGACGAACACAAGCAACTTTGCAGTGTCCATGTTCTCATTTTTAATTTTTGTTTTTCCTTCCAGCCTCAGCTTCACAGCAGGAGCCAGAAGCAGAACCTAATTCGGAGCCTCCAGTCAAATCATCGGGACATTCTCCTCCGACCCAGACCCTGCCCTCAGGAGCAGGATCCATATCAGACAAAAACAGCTCTCCCACGTATAAGGACAAGGGCAAGGACAGTGCTGGTGTAACTGTTACCTAATGTTCTACACTACAGATACTTCGCACACTTTTCAAGGCCACTGTTGTGTTGGTCATGTCAAAGTTGAAGCTTGAAGGCCCGCAGCTCTGTGACAAATCATTTTCACTCCCATAGTTTGGTTCATCTCTCATTCACAGTATCTGCTTGGCTGTTATCAGGTGGATATTCACAATGTGAAAGTAGTCTGTCTAAAGATATACAATGTGAGTCTGAATGTTTTCATACTGTAGTTTTGTTATGGCTTCGTTACCGCTTTGATTCAAGGCTGTACAAGATTGTATCTTGTTACAGAATATTTGCCACATTAACACTTTGAGCGCTGCTTTTAAGTAACTTTATAGCAGATGACTTCAAATTTAAGAGACAAAACATTAGAAGCAGCCATCAGCAGGTGTTGCTCATTTATTACGGTGCCATCAGACGTATTTGGAGTTATGCAAGATTCAGTTTTAAAACATGTTCACTGTCTAACATCATGTTTCAACTATTTCCTGTTCATGTTAGCGGTGGCAATTTTGGCGGATACTTTTTTTGTTGTATTGTAGTTCCTCATCATATAGACCAGGATAAACAAAACCCTGTGATTTATCAAAAAAAATAACTGAAAAATGTATACTGTAAAAAGTTTTTGTAAGAAAATACCTGAACAATATTTATAGTGCTATATATAGTGTTTTTATAGTATGTTTAATGAAATCACAATTTCTATGTGTCTAAACAAAGTTATTTGAGAATAAATCACTTCACATGAATGTCAGCTCAGACCAACTCTGTTGAACTGTGTATCCAAAGCTGATGATCAGACTTTAAGAACTTGGTAGGCATAAACAATAACTGCATTTTGGCTGGATGTTCTTTCCTGTGAGCATGTCTGTTATGAGCTTGTGTCTCGTTCGTGTTTACATATTGTACATACAATAAATGGAGTCGTGAAGAAAAAATAAAAATGCTCTGATCAACCAAGCATTTTGAGCCTTGACTCATTCACACCGTCTGTCATTGGGGGAAATCGACTAATTTGACTCGGGGGAACCATGCTCGGGTGGGTTTGTGAAGGGAGGTGGGGGTTGTGGGAACACATTTTTTTTATAGGAATAAGAACTTGAATTGTTTCTTATTTTATTCAAAACAGCACTATGAACATAACATTGAAACAAACCTATACATTACTTCAGTTGTATGTGAAATTATAATATTTTTTTGCTGATGCACATCCTTATATGTGATGGTAGTTATTAAAAATCACACATTGGGCCCACTGGCACACATGCAGTAGCATTGACTGTGAGCTGGACTAAGGTGAGTCTTTTAGAGAGCTCTGTGATTGTTTCTGGGAGAACGGGGAGCCCGCCACTCCTCTGTCTCTGCTGGGATGTTGCCCCACATCTTCCTCTGTCTGAAACATACAAAACATCTCACTTCTAGGGAATCAAAAAAAATCCCTCTACTGTAGTACTTTGTTTGTTTCACGTGCTATTAACTTAACTTAACTTAATTGTGACGTGAAACATATGATTTCCTGGGGAAGCCACAACAATTGAAAGGTAAACAAATGCCATAAAACGGAAAAAAGGTAGAGACTGTAAAAAAAAAAAAACAGGAAGGTGAAACCATGCTCTATTTACAGTCTACTAAAAAAGTTTCTTTGGGAACTCCTTTGCAAGTCTATAAACAAAAAACAAGAGAGACAGAGAGCATATTAGTCCAGTTATATTTATAAGATATAATCAACCTTTATTTATCCCACAATGAAGAAATGTATATACAGGCCTATATTGAGTAGAACTTTTTATCAGCACCATGGCTGTGAGTGAGTAAAGTAAAATAAAAAGTAAAATAAGCTTTTGCTACATTAAATCATGTAGTCATGGTTACATAGAAGTTGCAAAGTGCTGTCCTGTTTGTATTTAACCACTGGAGCCCTCGCAGCCTCATGCACTACTTTCCAGGTGACGTCAGTAAAGTCAGTAAGGGCTTAGGGTTTAGGGAGGACGTCGAGTCTGTGTCACGCGTTCCTATTGGTTATCCAGGCTGTCGTTTTGTTTTGTGGTGCGTTCAAGTGAATTACATTACGTTCGTTTAAATCAACACTTTTAAGAAACAGCTCCATGCGAATTTCCTGATTATTATTATTTTATCTGAGGGGGGGGCGGGGAACGCACTGCATTCCCAGCTTCCACCCCATGCCCATCCCCAATTTTCACAAATCACATTATCAAAGGTTGAACGGGAAACCACGATGTTTGCCGCTCCTGAGTAACTCTCGCGAGAATCCATAATCAGCGAGGTAGAGAGAAAATGGAAGGCTGTGCTAGGTAGCATCCCAGCTAAGGGAAGCCATTAAATAACTGGGAAATTATCTTTTTTGTTTTTAAATCTCAGGTATGATATCAGTTTTACTAAATGTGTTGAAATGCAAACGTGCAACATTACTTTATTTCGCCGGTGTCGTTGGAGAGAATTAGCTGCGAGGCGTTTTGCATTTACATACAAGTTCGTTTAGCAGCTGCTGGTTAGCTTTATAAGCTGCAGAGAACAATATCATGACGACGAAGAAAACAAGATAACTCTTCTCCATTTGTGGAATAACTGTCAAGATGTTGTAGAGTTACAGGTTTTACAGCATACCCGAGATTTCAGCTGTGGTGGGTCTGGAGGTATAAGCTGCTTTTTGTGTGTGTGTGTGTGTGTTTCTACATTGTGTCCTATGACTCCTCTCACATGTTTTATTTTTAAATTGATTTCATGCACCAAGCTGAATTTGAGATGGGGAATTACAAACATGAACGAATTGGTTATATAAAATCCGTAGGTTGTGTTATGTGTAGGCTTACAGGTGAACACTTATTAAGTTCACTTAGCCTGTAAATCACAGTTTGTAATGGCACAGTTTAAAAACGAGGCTGGAAACATTCCTCACAGGTTTTTGGTCTTTCTTGGCATTATGGCATCACCAAATTGCAGCTGATTCTTAGTCTGAGCTTCAATTACACAAATCCAGATAGAAATATAATTAATTTATTGATCCCAAACTGGGAAATTGTGGCGTTACAGCAGCAGGTTATCCAAACACACAATATGAGTAAAAAAACACAATGTTAGCAAATCTAAACACAATATAATATTAAATACAAAGTAAATAAGCACTAAAAGATATAAAAAATAAGAATGTGAATGTATACAACCAGGATTTAACTAAAGCATTACTAGTCTTAAATAGGAAGATTCAATATGGAAGATTAAATGTAAATGTGCAAAAACAGAGTTGTAAATGGACAGTATTGACATGTTAAAGTGCATGAGTGTAGACATGTTATAAGCAGAAACTATACAATATAACGGCGAGTAGACAGCCAAATGAAGTGAACATGAGTGCAGGGATAATTTGTAAATTTAACACGTGCAGAACAGATTACAGTATGGAGAGACAGATATTATCACGATGATACCACCACGATCTACCTGTGCTTGACTGAGATCCGGTGACTTTTGGAGGCCGTTTGAGTTCAAGGATCTTGTTTTTTATGCTCATATTTGAGATATTTAAGTTGTCATCAAAATGATCTACAAGACGTTTTGAACACTGTGGTAATAAGGGAATGACATCGACATGTTTGCATTTACGCCACCGTCATCAGCCTGATCCGATAAAACTAATCAGGGTGGATCCTTGCTCATTGTTAACTCCAAATTCTGACCCCAACACCGACATGTAACAGGGAATAAAATAGCATAACTTTAGACTCAAGCACGACAGATCAGCATCAATTTCCAATCTTTTATCAAGTTGCCCACCCTGGTCTTCTGCTGCTGTAGCTGATCCGCTTTAAACTTTGAGTTGGTGTGCGATTCCGATGCAGTTCCCCCACAGGACTGCTGCTCAGTGGATATCTTCTCCTTTTCCATACGGTTTCTTTTCATGTAGAAATGTTTTAAGTTTGAAAATCCCAATAGATCAGACATTTCTAAAATTCTCAAACAAGACAGAGGGCACCAACAACAGCAGCAGCAGCTACATTCAAAGTCCTTCGCTTATGTGACGCCTGATTATGACCATCTCTAAATGCGTTTGCTTCCCTGCCACGTGATTGGCTGATTAGAACTTTTGAACTACAACTTTTTATAGCTAATTTAAGAATTCCAAGGCTGCTGTGTTAAAACTTTTTGGTTCTAGTGAAGTTGAGTGAAACTGCACTTTGCGGAATTATCATTTGGCTGATGGATGGATATCATGACTGTGATCTCCCAAAGCATCAGATCATTTCTTGAGTTAACTGTATCGAAGCTTTGATTGTGACTTATTGTTTACTGAAAATATAATGTTTGCATTGAGTGTGTTTTCTACCAAGGTTTAGAGATAAAATTTTGACTGACACTTGACATGACACTAATAATTGGGATTCAAAACTTTCCTTTAAGCCTGTGCACTGACACATTGTCTCTTCTGTGTTTTGACAGCCCTAACACCCATGGATGTCAACATGGACCCAATGGAAAATGACATTGCTGATGATGATAATTCAGGTAAAAAAAAAAGTCCCTTGTCTATACGTTGCATAAATGGGCAGATTGTTACCATAAAAACTACAGACTTTTCTCTTTTTGTTAATCATAAGGGTGCTCTCTTTCTACAGAAGGGCAGCAGAGCCAATCAGAAGGGGCAGACTCAAGTGTGAGGCCGTCCCTTTCTGAAGTGAAAAAGTCCTGGGGCTTCAGGAGGACAACCATTGCAAAACGGGAATTCTTAGATGAAGTTGGAGACCTAAGCCACAATCCTCCACCTGTCCGCAGAACCAGGGGGCGCAAATCCAACCAGACATCTCAGGCTCCGCAAGAAAGCCATACCACCCAGAGAGCTTCTCGTGCGACCACTAGCGTCATAGATGATCTCGAGTGGTCTGCGCCATCCTCACCTGCGTCGGAGGAGAGCAAACCAGCCTCAGAAACTTCAGCAGGAGGGAGCCTTGACCCCAGTTTATGGCAAGATTTTGGGTCCGCCTTCCACACTGCCTTCTCATTGCTTGGTGGGGGTGAGGATTTGTCAATGGATATGCCCGAAGCAATGGCAATCCCTAAAACTTTGGAAGCTAATGATGTCATTGAGACGCCTCCTCCACAGGTCACAGAGCAAACTGAGGTGGCTGATGACGTAGAGTCTTCTGATGAGATGGAGATTTCGCAGCCTGTAGCTCTTGACAACATGGCAGGAAGGGAAACTGATGATGTGGTCTTGATCTCTAGTCAAGAAGAGGACAGCGATGAAATGACTCTTACACAGATCAAGGAGCAAATGGCAGCTAAAGGCAGGCAGGGCAATACGAGAGCTAGAGGGGGGAAAGGTGGAAGAGGAAAGGCCAGAGGGAGAGGCAGAGGAAGGGGAAGGGGAAGAGGTAGAGGAAGAGGCAGAGGGAGAGGTAGGGGAGTGGAGATTCTGTCGAGCATTGCCGACGATGAGGATGGCGAGGTTGTGCTTGTTAATCCAGCAGAACAGCAGCTGCAAGAGGAGGAAAAAGCAAACGATTCGCATAGTCCGTCTGGAATAGTGATCTCACCTTTTCACTCTGATATCAGTCTGAGTCCTGCTCAGCGATCAAGCTCAGACTGTATAATCATAGACACAGATTTAGACCATGTTACTGACGGGACTCCTGGCCAGTATGATGATGCACCAGAGGAGGAGGAAAAGAAAAAGAAAGTTCATCAGAATGTAGAAGAGTATTCAGACATATCGGTCCCTGGTGGTCCTGACTCAAATACTCTGTGCTGCATCTGTCGACAGAAACAGAACAAAAGGTAAATTTCATTTCTGGTAAAAAAAAAAAAAAAAAAAAAGTTCTCTTTGGGCTTCAGAGGTTTGCATACCTCATCCATCTGTCAGTTTCAGTTGCTGTTAACCGTTTTCTTGGTTCACTGTTTCCAGATTCATGATCTACTGTGACAGTTGCCAGGACTTGTTCCATGGTGACTGTGTCGGTGTCAGTGCGACTCAGGGCCGTAAGATGGAGAAGAAAGGGCAAGAGTTCATCTGCCCCCGTTGCACTACACAGAGGCAGAGCCAACTCCAACCTGAACCTCAACTCCACACTCAGCCGGAGCCTGAGATGAGCTTTCCTGTATGCTTGACAACTCCTGGTGAAGAAGGAAAGGGGAAGGAGGAGCTGCATGCTCTCAAGGTAAGAGTTTTATTTTTATCGCCAGTGATCTCCACATTGTCGTATTTTCTCAGGATAAACTAAGAATAGTTTATCAACTTTTTTGCAGCAGCAGTCGTAGTCATTTATTTTGGAATGGTAAATATGTGAAGGAGGGCGGTTATATGCTCATCCCATAGGTGCAGGGCAATCAAAATCTAGCAGCACACTCAATACCAGAAAGTTGAATAATTACAATGTTCGGAGCAGTCTTCATCTGGTTACCCTAAAGGTTTAAATATGTGTCAGTTCCTCACATCAGATCTGCACGATATGAGAAAAATCTGCTATGTGCAATTACGTCCTTTAACTATGAGATTTTGCTATGAATTAGCATTTTACATATACCGGTAACTTACAGTTTTTGCTGTTCTGTATATTTTACACAGTGCCTGCGTTTGTAACACGTCCCTCCTGGATCCATTACAATTTCAAAAATCACTTTACCACCGAATTGAAGCAAATTCTCTTGATGCTAGATATCGTCTAGCTGGGGCTTCATCTGATTGGAAAAATGGTGTGAAAGCATGACGTGGGTTTAGAACTCAAATGTTTGCATGCTGAGTAAAAGAGATTGGTGCAATCAATGAATTTATGTATCCTTTCAGACAGTCCTTTGCGACGTGTACATTGCAAATGCATTGACAATGAAATTGCAATTCATTGTGAAGCCCTTCTTCCCAGTATTATATAATCATAAATATGTATGGGACAACTTGCATGTCAGGAGTATTGTCTGTATGTCTGAAATGCAAGTATGGTTTCAGGAGGCTGTAGTGTTGGAGGAGGAGAAAGAGGAGGCGGTTCATGTGATGAAGTTGGAGCCTGAACCGGAGGCTGAGATGGAGACAGAGAGTTCTTTTCCTTTGTGTATTGGACCTGGATGCTCCAAACATGCCCTGCAGGACTCTGTTTACTGTGGCACAGAGTGCATCCTTCAACACGCTGCCTTCACTATGAAGTCTCTTTCTGGCCCTAAGGTGCCTAAATCTAAAGGGCGGGGAAGGGGAAAAGCTGCCGCTGCCAGACCCACAGCCAAGGTGAGTAATTTCAGCAGGACAACTGAGAAATTGAGATAGAATTCCATGATATATTTTCTTGCTTGTTGCGTCTGATTTAATAGAAAAACTCAGTAAAAATGTAATCTTTACAATGTATGATCTTTGTTTTGACACCTATTTTCATCACAGGGTCAGAGGTCTGGTAGGATGTCAAAGAGGTTAGCAGAAAAGGCTGAGGAGAAAAACGAAGAGGAGGTGAAAGAAGAGGATGGAGGGCAGAAAGAGGCTGCATCTCCCTTAGTCTGCGACCCCTCAGAAGTGCAGGCCTCCCCCATACCATCATCTAAGTTTTACACAGCGTGTATGTACCACTCGCTACTCATACACACTCAAATCATACAGCAGTTCACACACCATGCACAAAGGGCCTCTTTAATCATTACAGAATCTCCTCCTTTGTATCCGGTCACTATGTAACACAATCATACACAAGCACACATACACTCGGACACTTTCATACTTACTCTCTGGGAAGACCAACAAGTAGCAGGGTTCAGCAGTGGGTAAGTATGTTCACTTCTTACAGTATTTATTGCTGATTGGGCACAAACAGTCATCACTAGCCTGGCTTCCTGTATCTGACAGGACCCATTCATTGAAACCAGAAACATAACTAGGTACTGCAACCCACAGCTGCAGTCTGTGTATTAGATGTGAGTAGGCAGGGTGTTGTGTTGCGTTTGTGAAACACTGCTCCGATGTAAAGCTCGTCTGACCTTTCAAAGGTCACTTGCACACTCAAAGGTTCCCACTGATGCCTTAGAGCAATGAAATCAGTCACTGACTGATGAACATGAGTAACACGGGTAAAAGGAAGACACAAGACATCGATGCTTTTGGCAACATGCTGTGAATATGGAATACGCTGCTGCTCTTAAAGATTCTGAGGACTACTTTAAGGAAAAGGTTTAGGTTGTGTATCTCACCATAAGGTGCTGTGCCCATAAAGCGTACAACTTGTTTTCACATGTTGCGCTGAGAACCACGAGGAAGATACTCACATGCACCCTAAATTAACATTTTTTTCATTATATTCCTGCAACATTTTTTGAAGATTATTTAAAGACGGACTGCGCAAAACACTCTTCACACAATTAATTTTTTCACACAACACACACACCATAATCTGCAGTTTGGTTAATTTGTGCCTGAAAATCTCAACTCAGCTTTGTTTATGTAGCACCTTTCATACAACTAAACATGCAGCTGAAAATACTCTACAAAACAACAGACAGAAAATAACAGAAATTGATAGCAAAATAAATACCAAGAGATTAAAACAAGAGTTGAAGTAATAAAACATTTAAGAACTGTAATTTACTATAAAATAGTAATTTCTAAAACAAATTAAACAGTAAAAAAAGGAAAGTATTTTCCATAAATGTATTTATTTTACGATAGTGGAAATGTAATTTTTTACCAAATCACTTTTGGTCTCATAGGATCATTATTATGTTTTTTTTAATGGGGATTAGTTGGAAAAGTTATTTAACCAAAAATCAGAACAGCTCAAATAAGATTGTTGATTGACCTATACCATTTAAAAAAAAAAAAAAAAAAAAAACAGAATAGGAGTGATCCTAACTTACTTTATAGCCAATAATAGATATTTTCTCAGAACTGCTCTACTAGTATGAAAGTATAACTTCATTAAAAACAACCACCTGAGCAAGGTGCACAACTTAAATCTCCCAGACTTTGTCAGTACACCTGTGGACATCTTATTTAATGATTTCATAGTGCTAAATTGTTTGCAAAGCACATCACCTGCTCACAATGCTTCGTCTTTTTAAACCAGGACTGCGTTGTCCAATCCCAGTGTTTTTTTTTACTAGACAACACAACCATAAGTAGTTGTGTACCTCTATCATTTTCTCTCATTCTCAACATTTTCCTGGCAGTCGCATACATTTTACATTTGTAAATCGAACCAATTGTTGCACTTAATGCATGAAATTAAGTGAATCTCACATGCATACACCATTGGACAGTTTAAAACCTTGCTTGTTGTTGGGTCTTGCTTAGCAACAATCCATGTCTGTGGTAAAACTCCACCATCGCGTCTCTTAGTGCTGCAACTTACTGGCCTAAAAATCAACACTCAACACACACAAACACCCTTGGATGAGTCATTGCACAGACACGACATCATCAGCTTGGATAGGATCCTGAATAAATAAGGACTGGACTGCTAGTTTGGATGCTGTGGAGGATTTGCCTTCTTGCTGCTCATGACGCAGTGAGGACTGGAGGATTCATCTGTGCTGATGCTAGAATGAGGTTCCACCTTGATAACACTGAATATGGAGACTCGTCAAAGTTCCAGGAAGATGATTTTGAAGTGTCATCTGACCACCTTCAGAAAGTACTCCATTCCTCTAAGTGTCTGAGGAATGACTTCCTCGTCTGCAAATAAAGACGGCCCACAGTTCCCCACAAAGCATACAAACTCGAGAGATGGACGATTTAGTTACAAACCACAGGTGGTGTTGTGCTTAAATAACCCTTCTGTTTCATTTGAAGTGCCATTTAGGTTCCAAATAGAAGATAACAATCAAGACTCTAATATGAACCTGTAGCCCTTTACACTCGCATATGTACCAACATTTCCCTTCCAGTGAGAACGCTACATTGAGCAGCAGCAAACAAACTCATTCTTGTGGTTTCCTTCACTTTGCATTTCACCTTGCATTCGTAAGTACACTCAACAAAAAATCACAAGAATACCAAAGTGTGACCGACCCGATGGAATCGTATTTTTTTTTAGTGTGCGAAGTAAGAAGATTTCAAAATAACTGATAAGGTTTATGGAAATATCAAGGACACGTTTTTATTCTTCTTAAAACCTAAACATATAATATACCATCTTGACAAAACATGTTAGATATTTCTGAAGGCTGATGAAGGTGTCAAACTCAAGCTCGACTCCCCACACATGCACACGCAACATGTTGGTGAAGTTATGTTAGAAAAACAATGCAGTATCAGAGTCTCTTTGGTTGAAAGAGAGACAATGGCTTCTCTTCTAAGTTTGGTATAACATGGTTTTTAGACTTAATTCTCCTAACATACACTTTAACTCTTGAACACTAATAAGTCATGTTGATACAAACTATTCAACACAGGTTTTGTTTGGTAACATGTATGTCAGTGGAAAGGCTTGCAGGGAAATAGTCTTCCATTTAATGTATATTTTGAGACTAAGAAGTTGGAACAAAAACTACAGGATTGTCAACAGTGACTTGAAATGTTTTACCAAATCGTGGTTGTGGCAGAAGTTTCAGAGATCAGAACCCAAGTATTGTATGTTCAACTGTTCAGAACATTTTAATATTATAGTGGTGGGGGTATTTCTTCTGCAGTTGTTCATTGTTGATATCGTTGGACAGACTGGATTATCTTAGATTTCTTCGGCCGAGATCAGACAGAACAGTATGTTATGTCATGTTAACAGTCTCAATTATATTCTGTTATGAGGTACAGCCTACAAATTCCTTTCCATTTGGGTAGACTTCTAATAAGCTAAAAATAAGACATTACAGTCAGAAATACACATTTCTTCAGCCTCAGCAAATCATATTTCCTTTTCAGCTCACAACATACACTTGGCTCCTATCCAGGTATAGATCGGCTGCTATGAGGTGTCTTGCACATATGCATTACAGCTACACAGACATAAAAGATTTCCATTGCGTTGTAGACAGATTTAAAATATGTCCACAAAATTACCAAAATTAATTAATATATATGAAAATAAATTAACACTGGCCCTTTCTCAAACTCATTTTGAGTAGCTTCAGGGGCAAAGAGGAGGGTGTGAATGATTGAATTCAGTTTGACCATAGTTGTGAGGATCAAGACATCAAGATGTAAGGAACTTTAATAAGTCACTATAAGTGATAATCCATTGCAACAATCTTTTGAAACCTCATGGTCGAGCCTCTGAACATGCTGCTGTGAGGTCATGACCAAGCTACTTCCTTTCAGCCGGCAGACTTCAAGTCTCCAGCTGTTGTGTCACAGGGCGTCACTCCCAACAGTCACAGTCAGGCTGAGGAGGGCTTGGGTGAATCAGGCTCTTGATGAGTGGATTTTCTCATTCTGGATATCAAAGTACGCCAAGCGAACCTCAGTGGAAAAAGTGGAAATGACGGTTTTGGTGCATCACAATATTATTGATCAGGACATCGGCAAATCGACAACTGTGTGTCACAAACAGCCTTAAAGACAATCAATCATAAGCGTCAACTTAGATTTTTTACTTTTGTATCTTTGCAAAACTTGACTTAAAAAAATGCCCAACAGAATACAGCGTAAACGGAATACAAAGATTTGGTTTAAGTTTTGGTAAAGAAGATCAGTGTGATGAGAAGTGTGAGGAATGGGTCTTGTTTGATCTCATACTTAAGCCTTTTACTTTGTCTAACATCTTTCTTTCCAACACTCACATGCTTGGGGATGAAGTTTCAGTCAGTGTTAGGTTGCCTACATGGTTTTTATAACCAACAACAACTGACCACACATCAAGTCACAAAGCATCAAAGGGCAAGTACTTCTTTTGAAGTCTAATTAAGGCTTAGCATTGTTGGGCATTTTGTGAACTTATTCAGACAGTCTCATTGAGATCATTATCTATTTTTCAAGCAACATTTGTGGACATGGAATACACCATGACAAGCATCTATGCATCAGGCAGTATCTGAATATTCTTAAGTCACTTTACATAGTATTACCACTGATAAGCATCTGCTTATTGGTATTATTCCCTAAAGTTAGTCTTCCACCAGCGGACTCTCATGGAATACCAACAGTAATAAGTGGCTTTATGCGACTCCATTTTACCTTTTCAAAATATTCTATTCATGAAATCCAGTGACTAAACATGCCCACGTTTGTCGAGGTTTCAAGTTCCAATTCGGCCCTCGGACCATAAGGGCCTTAAGTCATCAGCGTCCCTTCAACAAAAATGTGCAACATTTGTCAAACTGCTGTCCAACAGTATTAGAAACCTTAAAGGATTGCAGACACAAACAGATGACCAAGTTCCAGAAATACACTGGATCTTCCATCTTCTACCATTGATGTCTAATGTGTACTCCTTATTTTTTGGGCATTTTTGGTGAATTTATCAAACCCATTTAAGAGATGCAACAAAGGTCCCCTTCTGGACCTTTACAGGGGGTGTTGCAGTTCATGGTTGCCTCTTAAATTCCTATTGTCATATGGGCAACAGGGAGGTTGTGATTGGAAAGGCCACTTCATTTCACCAGGGAAACTACAAGAACAGTATCTCTGGAGATG